CGCTACGCTTGTGCATGTCCGCACGCACGCACGCACGCACGCACGCACGCACGCACGCACGCACACACGCGTGCGTGCGTGCACGCGGGATGGACATTGAACGCGGGAGAAGATGGAACATCGTTTCGATGTACTATCTACCGTACTTCTCGCCCACGGAAAAAAGAGAAAAGAAAGAAGGAAAGAGCTCGAAAACCTACTGTACCGAACCAAGCTAGCTCTAGCGGTTTATGAGGAACCTGTTTTCTTTTGTAGGAGATATTCACCTTGTCCTTTCTGCTTGACGGCTCGCGTTATAGGGGCAATTTTCATGCCTTTTTCGAGATCCAAGAGAAAAAAAATTCTCTTTTCCATTTTTGATCGTAGCTGCCACCTTTTTGTGTCGATCAAAAATTTAATCTCGAATTGGATTCGAATCGAAGATTCTCGAATCGATATTTGAGAAAGATTGTAAACAGCGGTTGTGCAAGTGTTCGTTTTAAGAAGTAGATAATACGTTAATACAAGATTGTAAAATATCTCTTCCGTATCAATAATTTTTCATAGAATCAATGACAAATTTTTCACATGAAAAATAATACCGAATGTTGTAAATTCTAAAACATTCTGAATAATTATATGAAATACACGAACAACTGTATGAAAGGGCAAGTACGATTTTAAAAATATGATTTTTGGACAATTATCGGCTCAAAGGACAAAAATTTTCTACTTGTGGAAATTTCACAGTCGAGAAATAAAAAAATATTGATCGTTTGTGTTTGGCGTATCATATGCATTTGTGTACACAGTTGCGTTATTATGTTCGTTCATAATTGTTACTTGAGTATACGCAAGATATGCAATCGTAAAAAAATTATTGATATTGGCTATAGTTTGAGAGAGGAACAAACATTCGGCGCCGCAGTTCTCTATCTCATCTCGATAATGCACAAAGCTTCTGCTTATCAGCAATGCGCTTCTAAAACGTTTAAACGTCGCCAGCCGTTAATTTCGTTAGTTACGTGAAAGCTTAGTCATTCTTAGATAAAATATTGCTTTCTAATTATGGAAGTTCGCTAGCTGAGCTATTCCACCGTAAAGAGGTAAAAAAAAGGAAATAAAATGAATGAAAGGGTTCTTTTAGGAAAGTGAATTTTTTTTGGATCGAAGGGTATTTTCGTTTTGTAAAAAAAAGACTAGTCCTAAAAATGTCAATTGATTCAAAGACGTTTTATATTTATAGCAGACATAAACATGCAATTTAATAAAAATACAAAAACATGTGTATAAAGTTTTATCTGCAATTCTTGCAATTCTAGTTTTTACGATACTCGTGTACAATAAAAGGAAAATGCAAGATTTTTTTATCGCAAACGTTCAAGCGATGGTGGTTTCTGTAAATTATTGGGAAAGAAGAATTATTCAGAAATTGTACTTTAGAAGATCGCGCACGACTGATATATTCATTACTTAATTATCGCTTAATGAGATTTTTTTGTAAAATCGCTTATCGTTATAAAAATAAAATTTTAAAACACAATTTTTTAAAACACATTTGAACATAAAAAATGAGAAAGTATAAATTTGCATAGTGAATCATAAAACTTTCTCGTTATCTCAAAACATTCGAGGTCCATGATCATTAAGAGAAAGGATCATTATACGCGCATTACAAGTCAATTTTCTAATGACGTCGTACAAAATCGATTCGCAGGAAAACTCGTTTATGGCAGACCGCACCGCGCGGTTATATAAATATCATAACGCGACCGTGGGATGCGTCACGGTACGAAATATGAAAGACGCACCCTGCGGCAATCAACCTACTCGCTTATACACCAGTTGTTGTCATAGCCCCTATGCATCTGCCTGCCCTATCTCCGATTGTAGGTAGAATTTTTTGATGGCGCAACAGGACAAAGATTCACCTTACCATCGTGCATTTCTTCTCTTTCTCCTTTCCCCCCCCCTCCTCTCTTATCCCCTCTTTATCTCTCTCTCTTTCTCTCTCGCGTGCGCGCTTTAACTTTCTTCATCGTCCCGGTCACCTTTACGAAATCATCATTTCATCGAGGAAACGCCCGTTGCACGCATCACATACTCACATACACGCATATATATATATAATACTCGCGCACACATATACATACGCATATCCCTCCCTCTCGCACGCATGGCTGTAGAAAAAGATTTTTCTTCGACTAACGTCCGCTTTATCGTTGCTCTTTCCTTCGTTTTTAGGCACATTTATAAGATAAGAGGAAGCTGCATATTTTTTCGACTATCTTCGCTCGGTTGCACGCGGTTTATGATAAACCAGAAAAATCTAAGAAAGATAAATTGCTCATATCTTATCCACATCGGAAAGCGGAGAAGTTTAAATAAAAAAAATTATATTGTTTCAAAGTAAGCGTTATTTTCTTCTCATACCGAATTGTTTAGTTTTATTGCTCTTTCCACTTCTAGAACAAGAAATAGACGAGTCTATTTCTAAAATATCGTTATTTCTTTATTACATTGCTACATTTTTTTTATAAACAATTTATCTTTTCCATGTCTGTACAGAACAAAAAAATCTGAAAATATGTGGAAGGTAATAGAGAGAAAGAAAATTATGAAAAATTTTATACTTGAGATTTTCATTTCCGACACTCAAAATATCATATGAATATTTTATATTACAATCGCAAAATATCTCTTTTCGTCGTTTGAGATTTATTAATATCATCCCTTTTCTATCGCGATATATAATGCGATATGTAATAATAATAAATAAATTTTTGTATCTGTTTTTTTAATAATAAAAATTATTTAAAAAAGTAGATATTAAAATAAAAAATTTATTTTAAATAATTATTCTAATATTTAAATTATTTAATAAAAATTAATAAATTATTTAATAAAAATTAATATTTAAATTATTTAATTAAATTATTTATAATTTTATCATCATATTATAGAATACTATTAGAATACATTAGTTTTTGAAATATATCACAATTATCAAACATACTTTATATAT